ATTTATTCATTGACCTATTGGTTGTTTAGGAGCATGCTGTTTAATTTTTATGTATTTGTATGCTTTCCCAAATCCCTCTTGTTATTGATTCCCAGTTTTATTTCATGGTAGTTAGAAAAGATACTTGATATGAGTTCAACTTCAAAAATTTGTTGACATCGTTGTGTGGCCTAACATATAGTATATCCTGGACAGTGTTCCGTGTACTAGTGAAAAGATTGTGTGTTTTGTAGCAGTTGGATAAAGTGTTTTACAAATCTCAGTTATGTCCTTTTGGTCTAGAATGCCGTTTAACTCCTTTGTTTCTTTGTTGATTTTCTGTCTGGATGACTTGTCCATTGTAGAAAGTGGGTTGTTAAAGTTCCCTAATATTATTTATTGCTGTCTACTTCTCCCTTTAGATTTATTAATGTTTATGTACTTGGCTACTCCATGTTGGGTGCATATATATTTATTATTGTTATATCATCTTGCCATCTTGCTGAATTGATCCCTTTATCATTACATAATAACCTTTTTGCCTCATTTTACAATTTTGACTGGAAGTCTGTTTTGTCTGATATAAATATAGCTATTCCTGCTCATTTTTGGTTTCCATTTGCATTGAGTGTTTTTTTCCATCTCCTTACTTACAGTTTACATGTGCCTTTATAGGTTACATGAGTTTCTTGTAGACAGCATATAATTGAGTATTTTTTAAAAATCTATTCAGCTATTCTACATCTTTTAATTTTTTCCATTTACATGCATTGTTATTATTGCTAGATAAAGACATACTTGTGCCATTTTGTTACTTGTTTTTTGGCTGTTTTATTTATTTACTTACCTATTTATTTGAAACAGTGTCTCACTCTCTTGCCCAGTCTGGAGTGCAATGGCACAATCTCAGCTCACTGCAACCTCTGCCTCCCAGGTAATTCTCATGCCTAAGCCTCCCAAGTAGCTGGGATTACAGGAATGTGCCACTACACCTGGCTGATTTTTGTATTTACAGTAGAGATGGGGTTTTGCCATGGTGTCCAGGCTGGTCTTGAACGCCTGGGCTCAAGTGAGCTGCCCACCTTAGCCTCCCAAACTGCTGAGATTACAGGAATGAGCCACCACGCCTAGTTTTTTGTTTTTATTTTATTTTATATTATTTTGTTTTGACAAGGTCGCTGTCTGTCAACAAGTTTTGAATGCATTGATGTGATCATAGCTAACTGAATCCCTTAACTCCTGGGCTTAAGTGATCCTCCTGCCTCAGCCTCCTGAGTATCTAGGACTGTCGGTACATGCCATCATGCCCAGCTTTGATTGTTTTTAATTCTGTTCTTCCTTCCTTCCCATCTTCCTTTGTGGTTAAGTGATTTTCTCTGGGAGTGTGTTTTAATTACTTTCTTTTTATTTTTAATATGTCTATGACAACCTTTCGTTTTGTAGTTACTATGAGGCTTACAAAAAATCTTAGAGCTATAACAAGTTACTTTAAACTGATGGAAACTTAACATTCAGCACAAAGAAAGGAAGCCAATAAAAAAAGTTTAAAACTCTGCACTTTTACTCCATGCCTCCCGTATTTTGACTTTTTGTTGGCACAATTTACATCATTTTATATTGCCCATCTCCTAACAAATTGTTGTCATTAGTTTTGGTAGCTTTGTCTTTTAGTCTTCATACTAAAGATACTGTGGTTTACACACCACAATTGCACTCTTAGAATATTATAAATCTGTCTGCGTACTTACTCTCACCCATGAGTTTCATACCTTCACATATTTTCTTGTTGCATGTTAGCGTCCTTTCCTTTCAGATGAAGAAATCCCTTTAGCATTTCTTGTAAGACAAGTCTGGTGGTGATGACTTCTTTAGCTTTTGTTTGTCTTTGGGTTTTATCTCCCTTCATGTTTGAAGAATAGATTTGAAGAATACAATTGAAAATAGTATTTTCAATTGGCAGTTATTTTCCTTATGCCCCAACTTTTACAGCTTCCACATGAAGGACAGCATCCTAAGCCTCCTGGCACTAACAGTAAAGGAAACTAGGCATATGTGTTTCTCTAGGTCACAGAACAAAGATGGGGTTTCCATAGAGTATGCTTTCTGGGTGTAGTGCACAAAAAAAAAGGCTGGAATGCACAGCCCCAATTTTTTTCTCCAGAAGGGGTTTATTGCACTTTTTTTTTTGGACAGAGTCTTGCTCTTGTCGCTTAGGCTGGAGTGCAATGGTGTGATCTTGGCTCACAGCAACCTCCCCCTCCTGGGTTCAAGCAATTTTCCTGCCTCAGCCTCCTGAGTAGCTGGGATTACAGGCACCCACCACCACACATGGCTAATTTTTGTATTTTTAATAGAGACAGGCTTCACTACGTTGACCAGGCTGGTCCCGAACTCCTGGCCTCAGGTGATCCACCCGCCTCGGCCTCCCAAAGTGCTAGAATTACAGGCATGAGTCACCATACCCAGCCCATTGCACATTTTTTAAGTGGCTACTTGGCAGCTTGACTTCCATTGAACTTGTATTGGTGAGCCAATGGGGTAGACAAACAGTAACCCTCCAAAAGCCTGAGCTGAAGGATATCACCTCCTGAGCCTTTCCTCTAGCTCCCTCCAGTGATTATTCCAAGTCTACCCATATTTTTTAGAGGTAGTTGATCCACACACCAACTGCCACAACTTGTGTAGTGCTCATAGAAGGGACTGTCTCTTTAATGACCTAGCCTGGGAATCAATGGGGCTGTGCATTTCTGAGTGGCCCTAGACACTGGAAACAAACTGGCAAATATACAATTGGGCCAACTTCTAGTAGCTCTCTCCCCACAAGAGTACAACCTAAACACTAGTAGAGGCATTTGTCACAGATTCCCTCCCTGGCTTAGTGCAGAGAATGGGAGATAAAGGTTCACACTCAGCTTCACCATCATGATAGAAGAAACTGAAATACACATCCAACACCCCCACATTTCCAGCTACATATAAAGTGTTTGGATTCTACCTTACTTGTCTTGGGGTCTTGACAGGACATGGCACATTCTAATCTCCAAGGGGCCACTAAAAACAGAGACAATAGTTTGGACAGACACAAGTAATTAGGAGTCATCTTAAGATCTCTGACCAAGTGAATTGGCAAGATTATTCTCCTTCACTCATTTAGATTTCACTTGAGAAAAGTTAACATTGCATAGTCAGGGCAGAAGTCATCAATCTAGATGCTAAATACTATATACATGTCTTTCAACATATTTCAGGTTATTTTTTTTTTTCCGTATGTGATATATTTTTCTAAAAAAATCAGTTGCATTCAGTTTCAGGATACTCTTATGCGATAAGACTTCCTTGATTCATTTGAACAAAACTGTGCCATTCTCCTTGAGCCACATTTTGTTCTGCTCAGTGTTTCTTGTCAACATCTACTCCATAGGCATAGTCCTGGTCAGAAAGTGAAAAACTCATTTCTGCCCAAGAGTACAAGAAGTGACCTGGCATTGCTGCCAGATAGCAGCAGAGTTGAAAAAGGCCAGTACAGTAAGGAAGATGGCAAGCCATCAAATACCAAAATGTATCTTTCATCCTTCCTTCCCACTGAGGCCATGTCTCATTTCTACCTCTTTGTAAGATATCCACCCACACCAGCAACTCCCAACTGTTATATTGCCACATAAAATACCCATGTTACAACGTACCTTGTTCTCTTAACTAAAATTTTTTCATTCTAGTCCCTGCCTTTCTCTTAACCTTATTACAGTGATCACAAGTTGAAGAGGGAGAATAGTGTAAGATCAAGTCTGCAAGTTAAACTATAGTCCTGATACTGGAAATCCACAAACAGAAAATCTGAATTATAGATAAGCAAAGATTCAGATTCTGAAGCACTCTTAGATCTTGGGCATCTAATATCTTACCAATATTTAATCAAGAAAGAAGCAGGCAGATGACAGGGGTGCAGGAGGTGGGGGCAAGCAAGATTGAAGAATAACTTTTATTAAATAATGACTTAGTACCAAAAACATGACTGACATTATTAATTGATCCATATAACAAATATGTGTTGGGAGTTTAGTTCTGCCACTGAACTGTAAAAGCATTATTCCTATTTTATGCCTAAGGAGTCAGAGCTACAGATACAAAAAGTAATTCACCCAGTGTCCACAGGATTTCAACTCAGATCTACACAAGAAAAGCTCATGTTCATTCTCATATGGCAAAGAGCACAAGGAAGTAAAATAATTTAAGAGACAAGAAAGATCAGAGGAAGAGAACATTCAGGAAAAATTATGTAGCCCCATAATATCGTAAGTCTTCCAAAAAACCATTTTAATTCAAATTATATTAGCCAACAATGTTTGAATATACTTTATAGACAGTAAGTTTTTTCACAATATTTTATTTACTCATCTACCAATAAAACTTTTCTAGGAATTCAACAATAAACCAACATTAAAAGCTTTCTAGCATAAATCACCGATTTCCAAGATAGCCACAGGCCATCTTCAAAATACCTTTATTTTTATTATTTGAAAAGGTTTGTGGTTCTGTTTCCTTAAAATGCTGTTTAATTATATATGCTGACATTTTTATAGGTGAAATGATTTGATGTCTAGGATTTTCTTCAAAATAATGTAAGGGTACAGAAGATACATGATAGGTCATCAGTTGATAACTGGTGAGCTGGGTGACAAATACACAAGATTGTTTTACTTCTTATTCTTTTATTTTTTATTTATTTATTTTTTTTTTGAGATGGAGTCTCACTCTGTCGCCCAGGCTGGAGGGCAGTGGCACGATCTCGGCTCACTGCAAGCTCCGCCTCCCAGGTTCACACCTTCTTCTGCCTCAGCCTCCCGAGTAGCTGGGACTACAGGTGCCCGCCACCACGCCCAGCTAATTTTTTGTTTTTAGTAGAGACAGGGTTTCACCATGTTGGCCAGGATGGTCTCGATCTCTTGACCTCGTGATCCACCCACCTCGGCCTCCCAAAGTGCTGGGATTATAGGCGTGAGCCACCACACCCAGCCTACTCCTTATTCTAAATAGTAAAAAATCTATCACCATGTTTGGGTATAAGCTTTCTCTCCAAGGAAACATTAAATATATTTTTCAGCACTTTTTCTATTTCTTCCTCATTCAGAGTCTTGAACTCTATCATATCTGTATTGTCCTTGTAATTGAATCTCCTATAGGTGAGGGTGCAGCCCACTAAACAGTGAACCCCATCTGGGGTCTGCAAAGAACAAAATGATTTGCTAGTAAACACAGATGCTGGAGAAGTCTGCAGGTATGTATTCATAGACTCAAAATCTTCAATTGTTCGAGGCTCAAGAGTAAAGGAGTAGATTTTTCGGTATTTGCTGTCTTCTAGGAGATCAGAATTAAGAAATTCTTTATTTGGAATGTACTGGTCTCTTCTGATTTGGTCTAGATACCAGAATCCATTCTCTTCCGTCAAGCGGAAGATGCAAGGCACCTGAGGTTGATCCTTCCCAGAAATTAACTCCAGAGGCTGCCACATCTGGTATGAGCGTCCAAACCCAGCATCGACAATGTAGTTCCTGCCATCAATGGTCACCTGCAGGAGAAGGTGAATCATGCCAGTGCTGTACTTTTTGGCTGGAGTGCTGTAAACATACCCTCCCAACATCGTGGTCTCAAAACCCATAGTGGTCAGAGCCCAGTACAGAAGATGATTGACCTGGAGACACCACCCACCCCGATTTCTTCTCACGACTTGATCAAAAATGGCCTCTAAGCCTAAGTCCATGGCTTCCCCACAATGGATGTTAAGGTTCTCAAAGGGAACAGCTCGGATCTGGTGCTGAAGAATGTCAGTTAATGTTTCCAAGTCCAATTTGTTTCTGGACTTCTTATAGCCAATTCTTTCAAGATATGCTTCAATGTCCATGATCCCCTAAGCAAGGAAAACAAAACGAAAGCAAATCATATTACTTTTACACTTGGATTTGAGTAGGCTAATTATGGCTATATTTTAAATATGTAAAAATACACTGGTTATAAGCATAATAATTATTTCTAGTGCTTTTATTATATAAATTCCTTTTACACACGTAAGTTCAGTTAATAGTCCCAGAATCCTGTAAGAAATGTATTATATCTTCTTTCAAGTGTGAGAAGTTGGAAATCAAGACTAAATGATGGTCAAATGATAAACACCTTGTTCATGGTTCTCTTGGTGATTAACAAAAGAGAGATTCCAATTGGTATTTATTAAAATAGGCTTACAAACATCTTCTGATGCAGGCAGGAGAATCATGCAATAGAGTGTATAGTATCTGTGGTACCTGACCCACTCAATTTCCCTTGTAGCTGAGGCTTATACAAAGTTTCCCACTCAAAGAACTGTATTGATTCACTCATCCATTGATTGATTAACTCAAGAAACAGTTTACTGAATAGCTATAATGTGTTTCCTACTGATCTAGTGCTTGTTTGCTCTCAAAAATCTTATAGTGGGAGTTGGAGTGACATACATAGGAAACTGAATACGTGGCTAAAACATGCAGTCTGTTAGATTGTAGTAAGTGCCCTGGGAAGACTAAAGAAAGGATTTAGTAAGTGCACAGGGAGAGCTCCAATTTCAAATTAGTTGGTTTAAAAAAAAAAAAAAAACTCAGATTTGAAGCATGCCAGAGAATAAGGCCTAAGGATATGCATGAGGAGGATTGTTCCAAGCAGGAGAACAGAAAATAACAAGGCCCTAAGCTGGAAAATGCCTTGAGCATTCAAAAAACGTTCAGGAAGCCAGGGCAGTTGGAGCACGTGAGTGAGAAGGAGAGTGGATTGAGATGAGATCTGACAGGCAACTGCAGCCTTGGAGCTAAGACTGGCATTTTGGCTTTTACTCTAAGTGAGGTGAGAAATGTAAATGAGAGAGGCCTGAGAGAAAGGTTGTGATTGAGCAATGTTTGCTACAATCAAAGTGATCTTTCTGGCTACTGTATAGAGGATAGGCTGCCCATATTGTGCCTTAAGGACAGTCACATGAACTAGGTGGAACCAATTTGAACACATATGCTCTACGACCAGTGCTCAACTCATGGACAACATATGCCCTGTGTAGAGCTGAGACTTCATTGAGGAACTGTTGCTGAAACCTCAGCGTGTACATTCTGCTACAAGGTAGAAGCTGGGGGGTATTCATTCAAAGCTATTGGTGAGTAGAAGCTGGTGGGGTATTCATTCAAAGCTATTGGTGAGAACCTATTGAAGAACAACACTAACAAAGGGTTCACCAAGTTTACCAAGAAATGAAAAACAAGAGAAGGTAGAATGAGGAAACACCTCAATGAAGCCAAAAGCTATCTTTTAACTTTCAGGCAATGTGAACCAAAAAAAAAATAAATGCCCCTTATTTTGTTACATCTTTTAAAAAAGGTTTTTTAAACCTGCCATCATGGAGTCTTAATGTTTTGAGACTCTGATTGTAACAGTGCTGTACAGGCCTCAGGTATAACTCTTTTGTAATGTGGTATGGCCTGAGGATGACCTTGTAAAAGGGAGCTGCCGCCAGTTGAATGATAATGAGTGAAGCATCTCTTATTTTCCCTTCTCATAACATTTCTTCTATATTCTCCTATTTTTCCTTTCTGACCCAGCTATCCTCCCCATATTGCCAGTTTCCAACTTTCTCTGTTCTCGATGTCGACAACGTCATTTCTCCTAAATCTGTTAGATTGCATTTCTTCTCATCCTAACTTCCACCAGCACCCTTTCTTAACATTTGGTCAAGCTCTAAAGTTCTACCACTCAGGGAGAGAACAAGTTGTATTTAGTCAGACCTTGCCAACCCCTCTGTGCCTCCAACCTAGAATTTGTACTGAGTATGTAAAGAAGAGAGAGAAGCTGATCCAAAAGGAAGAAGGCAGTTTATACATACCTGGACATTTGATTCTTGCTTAGAATATCATTCCTTCTATTAAGAAATTCCTTTATATCTCTTTTATTTGGTATAACTTGTTTACAAGCATTTGTTTTCCTCTTTTTTCTTTCTTTCTCTCTTGTAGTCTCTCTGTTCCCTTCCCTTCATCCTTCCCCTCCTTTTCTTAATTTTTAAGATAAGGTGTTGATTTGGAATTTAGCAACTGCAAGTCCATTTGAAAGAAGTCAGTTTTTTTAGAGGCCTGGATAGAGCAGTATGTTGTAACCAAACCACACTTGAACATTCTGTGGCTGAACATAAGAAATTGTGCATTACTAACGCTGTGCTTCAAGGTGGAATGCTGAAAGCACTTGGAAAGTAGCTCAGGAAAAGAGCTCACTGAAAATACTATTAGCTTTATATATCCACTTGTAAATGTGCAGTGATACGTCCCTCCCTCCCTTTCATCTTGATCATAAATATAAGATTTAAAGGAGGCAGAGTGAACGTGCTTAGGAAGCCTACTGAGAGCTCTCAGAAAGGCGCTTAATACCTTTCTTAGTAAGCTGAAAGTAGGTTGAGCTTCAGTTTTAATCCAGAAGACAGAATGCTGCTTCTTCCTGGCTTGAATTCTAGAAATAAGAGAAAAGACAGTTAGAAATATGTAACATGACTTCCTTGAAAACAAAATAATAGTTTTGTAGACCACAAATTATGAAGATTTCCTAAAAATCACAAAACAGAGGGAATGGACTGCACAGTAAAGCGAACATTTGAGTTGTATAAGAAAGTGTGTGGAAACTATAACTATGGAGATGGGAGCAACGCTGATGGGGTTAGAGCCTTCTGGCTTAAGAACCTGGAAGCTGGGAAAGCCACCAGGAGCGGGGGTTCCACACTCCAGAGACAACCCACCAGCTGATGAACTGCCATGAGATCAGCAAGGAAGGCTGAACCAGGCTCCATGCCCCCAATCACTGCCATGACATACACCAAACACATCAAAGACCAGGACGTAGTGCCAGCACCCGGTCTTCCTCTAGGTACAACTATTACTGGGCGTGTTGAGGCAGATAAAAAAGGTAAGGCCCTTAATGTATGATGCTACTCAAAAGAAAGAAAGACCATCTACATACAGAAGATCCACCATCAGAGCATCTCTTGTCATAGTCACCTCCCCTCACCTCCACTAAAAAAAATTGAGGAGTCTGTGAAAGGAAATTAAATTGTGGGACCCCCAAACTCATTTAGCCAAAAGGAAAAGTCAAGCTGGTAAGTGCGTCATGTAAATCTGCCTCCCCCTTTCTTGGTTCCTGAATAAGATGGCTACAAGATGAAAAGCCACACACCTCCCCCATATTTTGCCCACAAGGAAACTCCTAGTGAGCTGTTAAAATTTCACCATAACAAACAAATTGGGAGACATTAATATAATAATGAACCATGAGCTTACAGCTGCCTTAATTGACACAGACACAACTATATCTCTGATCAATCCCACCTTATTTAGAAACCCCATTCCTCAGAGTAATGAAAGAATTACCGTGGTGGCTGCGTCTAATAAAATGATCTCTTGTTTTAAGTCCAAACCTCTACCTTACCATTCCATCCGGTTCGGCTCCCCCGCCACAGGCTCTAAGAGTATGTGACATGCTCAGTAGGTACCATACATTTCTTAGATGCCCTGGGTCCCCTGTCAGTCTTTTGAGCCGTGATCTCCTCAACATCCATAATGCCCATATCTCTTTTTCATCAAAAAGTGAACTTTTTTTTAGAATGGGGGCCAGGAGACCAAAAATACCGAATTACAAAATGTCCGGACGACATACCACAATTTAGTACTAGTAATGTTGAAACATCATCTTGTGGCCGGGAAAATGAAATGGAGACACAGAAGGAAGTAATAGGGGAGAAGAGAAAACACTGGAATAAAGAGCGGGAAACAGTAAAACTGCTTTTAGCTTCCCCAGTCTTCCTGCTAACACCAGAAGAGGATGCTTGCTCAAGGATGTCCCCTCCCAGTTATGGTCTCAGTCAATACAGACATAGGGAAAGTATTCTCAGCCACTCCAATAAAGGTAGATATAAACCCAAAGAAACCCCTACGCAACCTTAAACAATACCCTCTATGACAGAAAGTCGTAAATGGAATTGTCCCTATTACGCAAGGTTATCTAAAAAGAGGCTCGTTATTCCCTGCACAAGCCCCTGCAACAGCCCTATATTTCCTGTAAAGAAACTGAGCAGGAGAAAATGGAGATTTGTGCAGGACTTGAGGGCAATAAACAATATTGTAATAGCCAGTCACCCAGTAGTCCCCGACCTACATACCGTTCTATCAGGTATACTTACTACCAGCCAGTATTTCTCAGTTGTGACTCTGCAGTGCCTTTTTCAGTATTCCTGTAGATCCAGACAGCCCGTATTTGTTTGCTTTTACTTGGAAAGAATGGCAGTATATGTGGGCTGTAATGCCCCAAGGGTATACAGAAAGTCCCACTTACTTTTCCCAAATACTAAAAACTGATTTAGAGGATTTAATTTTTCCCCAGGGCTCAACACTCATTCAGTACGTGGATGACCTTCTCCTTTGTCCAGGCCCAGAATCTTCCTCCCAGGAAGATAGTCTATATTTACTCAGCCAGCAAGGGTACAGAGTCCAAAGACAAACTTCAGCTGTGCTTACTGCAAGTTAAGTATTTGGGGCATATTATCTCGGTCAAAGGACTGAGTATTAACCCTGATAAAGTGAGAAAAATTTTAGCTTTCCCAATGCCCATCACCAAGAAACAACTTAGAGGATTTCTGGGGACTGGCAGGCTGTTGTAGAAATTGGATACCACATTTCTCCTTTATGGCTCACCCTCTATATGCATACCTAAAAAATGAACAACCCGATCTCATCATGTGGACTCCAGAGGGGCAATCGGCTGTATAACAAATAAAGGAAATTCTAACTAATTCCCCAGCCTCATGGCACCCAAACTACAGATTGCCTTTCTCCCTTTTTGTATGTGAAACTGAAGGTACTGCATCCGGGATACTGACACAGAAACATCGTGATCATCAGAGAGCTGTAGGGTATTATAGCCAACAGCTGGCCGCTGTGGCTCGAGGGCCGCCTCCTTGTGTACGAGTAATAACAGCCATCGCCCTTCTGTACAAGTCTGTTGAAGAAATAATTATGGGTTCCCCCCTTACCATTTTTGTGCCACACCCTATTGAGACCCTTCTAAATTCTCGTCATACCCAGTATCTGTCTGTCAACTGGTTAGCCTCTTATGAAATTTTGCTTTTATCATCTCCGAATATTACTATTTCCTGCTCTATAATCTTAATCCAGCCACTCTCTTGCCGGGCCCTTCCGACAACTCCCCTCATGACTGTGTTCTGATGACTGACCAACTTCTCACCCCCAGGACAGACCTCCAAGAGATGCCACTGGATAATGCTGAGATAGAATGGTATACAGATGGGTCTTATTTAAGAGAATAAAATGGAAATTTTAGAGCAGGATATGCAGTGGTTTCCTTACTAGAGGTAACTGAAGCCGGTCCTCTTCCCCAAGCCAGATCGGCTCAAGTGGCCAGACCGACTGCCCTGACTCGAGCTTGTCAAGTGGCAGAAGAGAAGGCTGCACACATTTACACTGACAGCTGCTACGCATTTGGGGTTGCTCATGCCTTTGGGATGCTATGGAAAGAGAGAGGGTATTTAACCTCCTCAGGGCAACCCATAGAAAATGGACAGCAAGTATCAGAGCTGTTACAAGCTATTCTAAAACCAAAACATTTGACAATTATAAAAATCCCAGATCACTCAAAATGAGACACCACAGAGTCAGGGTAACCAATTGGCTGAACCCAGAGCTAAAAGAGTAGCATCTGAGCCACCAGGTATGTTATGTAAAATGCAGAGTCCCTGCATTTTTCCTCTGCCTCTTTTGTTTATGTCATCTTCTGCAAAAAATGCAGATTCACGGAGCCAGACAAAGCCATGAATGACCATTTTCCTCCCAACCCCGCTCTTACATGAAAACTGTGCTTCTTGATACCCCATCCTTTCCCCTTTAAATTTGTAGCCCTCAAAATCATCTTCAGAGAAAGGCATAGATCTCTCTCCCAGGCCCACATCCTTAACTTCGGCAAATAAATCTCCTAAAATGATTGAGATTCGTCTCGTCATTTTCCTCGATTCACAAGTCTACGCCAACCCCAGTTGGACATCTCACCAGCTGCGCCAGATTCGAGCAACAAAAAAAAGTTGGAAACAGAGCTATATACACATAAAAATGATGAAAACAAACAAAATGAAAATACTATGAGATTGAGATTAGAAGAAAAGACATAACATGCAGAAGTTATATACAAAAAAACCACAACCAATTTAAGAAGAAAAATAAACTGAAAAAAAATTTTGGTAAAGGTATCTGGGGCTATGGACCATGTAAAATAAACTCAACAACAAACAGCTAAAAATAAAGTGATAAAATAATAGTTTTATGAAAGGAAAGATTTCATACCTTAGAATACTCATTAAGGACAGAAATGGAACTAATTAATGATCAGAATACATAATTAATGATGAACAGAAAGGAACTATACAGATACAATGTCATATCACATTGCTTATGTGGAAAGAAAGCTTGATATTCATACTAAAGACTAATTAAATGATAAAGCAATTAAGATAGAATCTAATAGAAAGCAGTCAAGGACAAGCCAATGCAAAGACAATTGGTGCTTCTGAAATGGAGAACGCAAAAAGTGCAATAGAAAAATGTATGGCACTATTCACAATAGCAAAGACACAGAATCAACCTAAATGCCCATCAGTGACAGAATGGATCAAGAAAATGTGGTACTTATACACCGTGGAATACGATGCAGCCACTAAAAAGAACAAGATCATGTCTTTCATGAAAACATGGATGGAGCTGGAAGCTATTATCCTTAGCAAACTAACATAGGAACAGGAAATGAAATACTGCATATTCTCACCTATAAGTGGGAGCTAAATGATGAGAATTAATTAACACAAAGAAGGAAAGAGCACACACTGGGGCCTTTCACAGGTTGGAGGGTGGGAGGAGGGAGAGGATCAGGAAGAATTACTAATGGGTACTGGGCTTAACACCTCGGTGATAAAATCTGTACAACAAACCCCCATGACACAAGTTTACCTATATAACAAACCTGTACCTGTACCCCTGGATTTAAAAGTTAAAAAAAAGAAAAATGTATGTAAAGATAAATATTTTCCTGAAATGATGAAAACATTGAAGCTGAAAAACAAAAGACAAAATTCTGGAAAAGTTCGATTCAACATGTTTGCCCCTGGAATATATTTTTGTTAAATTATTAAAAGTCAAAATTAAAGACAACTGCTCAAGCATCTGGCAGAGAAAGAAAATATTTCATGAAAGAGAAAACATCAGGCCAGCAAGAGAATGTCACACAGAAATATCCATTGGTGAAGTAATAGAAGTATATCTTCAAAGTATTGAAGGGAAAGTGTGTGCTCCAAATATTCTGGCTAGTATTTCACTTGATCAAAAAGGCAACATGAATATAAAGGTAATATCAAACATAAAAGAGCTTGAGAAATGCAATAACTGAGGTGTCCTGATAGTTTCTGTTTCATGGCCAGTGAACAAGCAGATTAATATGAAAACCGAGAAGTAGAGGGGTCACAGTAAGGGAGTGCTGGTGAACACTGACTCCTTTCAATACAGAACAAAGAGTAGAAAAGTTATGAGAGTTATGGCTTTTGAATGAGTCATTTTGGCTTATATGGAGATAGAAATACGAAGTTAAAAATTAAATCTGGGCCGGGCACGGTGGCTCAAGCCTGTAATCCCAGCCCTTTGGGAGGCTGAGGTGGGCGGATCACGAGGTCAGGAGATCGAGACCATCCTGGCTAACACGGTGAAACCCCGTCTCTACTTAAAAAAAAAAAAAAAAAAAAACACACACACACACAAAATTAAATCTGAAGATTAAGAAAGACCAGAGTCTAGGAGAGTCCAATCCAGTACTGTCAATGCTGGGATTGTTAAAAGATCATTTTTTAGGTATAACGTTTTTTAAAGTTTATTGGACAGCAATTCATGAGTCAGGCAGCACCAGACCACGGGTGGCTCAATGCTCTGCTGAGGAAAGGGGAGGGCAGGAGAGAAACGTTTATAAACTGTTTGCAGGAGTGAGACAAGGAAAAGCTATTTGGTTGGTTAGAGTGCAAAGTCCCTAGTTAGAGGTTAGTTGACAGTTTCTGATTGGTGAAGTCTCTAGTTTTCTACTGTTTACTGGTAAAGAGTAAAAAGAATGAAAATGAAACCACAGGAGTCACCCAGTCTGATGGCCCCCAATTAAAAGATTTTTAATGGAACATACTCTGGTTAAATTATTGAAATGTAAAGGCAAGACCTATCTAGGTGCAATAAAATAAGGGGTAGCGCTTGAAGGGAACTGGAGAGTGCATTCCCTGTCTAAAGTTTTTTAGACAAAAAAATTGAAAAAATATATATATATACATATATGATGACTCAAATGAGACCCCTTAGACCTATTGGGTCTGGGCGCAGTGGCTCACACTTGTAATCCCAGGACTTTGGGAGGCCGAGGCGAGTGGGTGGATCACTTGAGGTCAGGAGTTCAAGACCAGCCTGGCCAACACGGTGAAACCCCATCTCTAATAAAAAATTAAAAAAAAAAAAAAAAAGCCAGGTGTGGTGGCACGTGCCTGTAGTCCCAGCTATTCGAGAGGCTGAGGCAGGAGAATCACCTGAACCTGGGAGGCGGAGGTTGCAGTGAGCTGAGATCGAGCCACTGCACTCCAGCCTGAGCAACAGAATGAGACTCTGTCTGAAAACAAACAAACCTATTGGTTTCCACTGTAGGTATGGAAGGGCATAAAATAGAGCCTGCTCAGGGTACCTAAGAGGGAACACAGGGCTGGCTGGCAAGGATTCAGGACTGGGGTTAGTGCAGGAAGAATACTTTCAATAACTTGCCTGGATCCCTTCAGATCTCTTTTACCATCTCGCAGTGCCCCTGGCCGGCCTTCTGTGTTCTTCTACTTTAGGACCTGTACCCTAGACTCTCTTTGGAGCACTCCCAAGGGCTCCTGAAGCTGCTTTGCCCTCCTTTGCAGAGAGCTAGAAGTGCCAGGGATTTATGTCCTGCCAGGACAGTGCTGGATCAATGACTTAGTAGGAGGTCTGGAAAGCCTAGTGCCCTTGCCTTGCGTCTGGACGCACTTCAGAGTTGCAATTCACATCCAGGCTGCAGCTGGGGCTCTCCCAGCACTTCCTTCAGTTTCTCACACATGGATTCTTGTCTTAGTGTCTGGTTTGGGGGAACCTGACTTAAGTCACCTTGGTGGACATTTTGGAGAGCTGTGTAAAAGAAAGGTAAGATACACAGAATGAGGCAACTTCTAGAGGTCCCTGGATGTTGGGCAAAATGCTTGTGTTTTTCTGCAGAGTTCATGAATGTTGTTTAGTTGAATGATCAATATTCAACAGTTGACCAACTATTGTGACTTATCCCTACGTGACTTGGCACTTCTATAATAAATCACATTATCGGATGTGGTACCCCTGGAGAGCAGGTTGATACGCAGATCTCATTGTTCAGTTTCAGGTCCCTAGAATCTATATATGTTAAATACACAGCAGTGGTTTTCTTTTTCTTTATCGCTAAAGAAACCTTTATTCTTCTCTTAAAAAAGTTATAAACAAGAGCCCAACATAGAAGAATTAAAAGCAGATTAACACAGAGGTAGCCTGCCTATGAGATGTTCTGCCTTACGGCTACAATTAGCACAAGTACAATTGTGGACTGAGATAAAATCATCTACACATGCGCATAGATTTCTGGCATTAATAATTAGAAGAATTATAAGGAGAGCCAATGAGTGGCTTTTCTTTTCTTATTCTTTCTCTTTTGTCTCTACCACCATGGAAGAAGGGCATGGAATCCCACTAAATTGACACTACAACCTAGCCCCCTCCAAAGCCAGCCTATTGAGTCTCTGGAAGAATAGGGGTTGCTGGAGTAGCCACACCTAAAGACCATCATTCAACAGTTGTTCATGTCCACAAGGCCACTCACTGCTCCCAGTTAATGCCGACTGGGGCCAGGCGGGTAGTGGGGGGTACTTGCAGCAGGCCAGGAAAACACATCTAGAGAAAAACAGCTGCCACTGCTGAAGACGGCAAAGGCCAGACAAAATAAGTCTCCGGGCAGCGTGCAGGTAGAACGTTGGCAGTTAAAAAGTTCCTTTTGAGGAGGAAGGTGTGGTCACCTGTTCTGAGTTTCAAGCATTCGAGAGCAAACAGTATGTCTGATTTTTTGTTTGTTTGTTTTTTAATTAGAAAAGTACAAACAAGTATACCATTGTAGTGGGCATCGTGTCAGGGCATGGGAGCAGCATCCAGGGAAGAAAGCCCATCGGGCCCTCAGCTCCTGAGGCTGGCTGTCTGGGCCAGTCTCCTCTCTTCTGTGGAATTCTGCAAGTCCATGTTCAGCGGGTGATGCTCTCAGTCTGACAGTGAAGGAGTTAATTTTTTTGTCATTCATGCCTCCTGGAGACCCTCTCCACTAAGCGTCCTTCAGCCATGATAAAACTTCGTCCCTGGTATGGCGGCTCACACCTGTAATCCCAGCACATTAGGAGGCCAAGGCGGGTGGATCACTTGAGGTCAGGAGTTTCAGACCAGCCTAGCCAAGATGGTGAAACCCCATCTCTACTAAAAATGCAAAAATTAACCCCATCTCTGCTAAAACTACAAAAATTAGCCAGGCACGGTGGCGGGTGCCTGTAATCCCAGCGACTCAGGAGGCTGAGGTAGGAGAATCACTTGAACGCAGGAGGAGGAGGTTGCAGTGAGCTGAGATCGTGCCACTGCACTCCAGCCTGGGCAACTGGGCAAGGTTCTGTCTCAAAAAAACAAAAACTTCCCTCTGGAATTCCCATAGGCATTGCAAACAACAGAAATCAATCTTTCTGGACATCCGGGATCTTTAGGGGCTTTTTATCAGCCAGTGCAAGAGAAGCAGGAATTGTTAGGAGCTTGCTGCCTGTAGGACTAACTGGGTCCTTTGGGACGCACACCACTGGGGACAGAGGAGGGTCAGCATCATGGTTACAAGTAACCAAGAGGGAAATCCTGTTGAGAACGTTGCCTTAAACACATCGGCTATCTTTTAATACATGTATTTAATCCTCACAACTCCTTTAAGTAAGCAGTACTCATAGCTCCATTTTACTGAAAAAGAAACTGAGTTTTAGGGAAACTAAGTGACTAGGCCAAGTTCTCGCAGCTATAAAGCGGCTGTGACTCTAAACCCAACAGTTTGAATCAAGGACCTGTAACTGTCACCACTATGATGTGGAGTAGTGACAGCATTAGCTTCCAAGTATGTGCCAGTCAGACTTTCTCAACAACCTTATACTTGAAATGTGGACATCGTGTAGAATCTACTCTCCTGTACTCACACTTGACATAGGATTAAACCCCAGTTACAAAGTACGCTGCAAGACCCTTACAGAGTTCCACTTACCAGGTTATTTCAGCCGGCAACCAGGAACCAGACTGAACGCAGTCCTCCCACATCCAACGTCTATGAGGAAGTGCTCTCACTTTCAAAGTCTGCAGGGGAAAGTGCTCTCATTGGATGTCCACGTGGCCCCGCCCCCAGAGTCACCTTAGGGTTACCCCAGGGAGCCCTGGGAAATGTAGTTGCAGGGCCTCAGGTGGCTCCTGTGGACCCCTTATTCGTATCTTTCCATTAAAAAAGTGTGGAGAGTTGTACTGTCCGATTATCCCCATGCCACTGGCTGGGAGGACTGTGCCCTTGTATTTCACCTGGTTCCTGCTCTCTGGGAGCCTGACACCAGATGTCCCATGTGTGATGTGGAACGCGAGAGCTTGGAACAGGTCCAGGAAAAGCAGAACTGGTAACCTAGAGGAGGCAAAAGAGGAAGATGGAAGGCTTTAATCACGCTCCCAGTTTATGGCTTACTTTCTTCATCAATTCCCATTAGGCCTCTTTTAAAACTTTTTCTTCCCTTCATCCATCATCCTCATTCCCACTGGCCTCTCTACCTGAAGGCACTGGGTAATGTGTCTGAAATAGCTCCATGTCTGGGGCATGAGGGTGATATATGTCATATGGCTTTGTTTATGCTGGTGTACTTTATTTACATTCATGTTATTGATCTACAACTCTTGCTGTTTCTTATGGATTTTTCTCTATACAATATAACTTTTGTTTCTTTATCCACACATAATGTATATGTTTACAGGGTACAATGTGACGTTCTGATACATGTATATGTTGCGTAATGATCAAATCATGATAATTAGCACATCTATCACTTCAAATATTTATCATTCCTTTGTTTTGAGGACGTTTCACCAGTGAGTGTTGCCTTGTACTGTGTTTTCGGCACCTACTGTTGTGGAACATGCCTCTGGCGTCCTGCCGTGTGAACTCGGGACTCTATGGGAAGGCTTTCTCTTGGCATGTCGTCAGGCAAGCTAGACAGACTCGAAAACTAAGGGGCTGGGACCACTACTCAGCCCAGGATGATGGGAGTCGGAGGCTAAATATCTTTGTGCTGTACCTGGTCAGGTGGAATTACTCTTACGCTTGTATAACACTGCCTCCTGGTGTTGTCCAGTGGAATTATGCTCCCTTTGTTCACAGGTAACTTGCCAATAATGCACCCTTTATCGATTCTCAAACTGCCCTGGCCTCATTGTCCCACTCTTGCACTGATGCATCCTTAAATCATCTCCCAAATAATCTACCTGAATGCAAATCCTTGTTTTAGCGTCTGGTCGAAAGCCACTTTAGCTAGGTGGTTGTGAAGTGGACGGGAACTTGGATTCCTCCTGCTGAGGTAGCAGATTCCCCTCTGACCCGGGGTGGGTCTAAATACTCCCTCTGTGGCCTCCAGCGTAGAATCAAGGGCCTTGGAGGCTCTGCCCAGTGCTGTGTTCCACTGCAGTGGGGTCAGCGCTAGGCTCCAGTGCAAAATCCCACACTAACGTTCCTTTCACTTCCTAAGGAGGTAGATTCTGTCTATTGTGCACTGTGCTGCCTGGGCTCGTGAGGATACTTGTTGAACTTGACGTCCCTGCAGGGAAATGAGTACGGGAGGGTTCTATTTGGCCACCTTGTTCCACCCTCTATTTTATTTTTTTTTTTTTTTGATGCTATTGTGATGGATTGTGTTTTCCTGATTTCTTTTTCACATCGATCATTATTGGTGTAAAGAAATGCAACTGATTTTTATATGTTGATTCTGTATCCTGCTACTTTACTGGATTTATTCTAACAAATTTTATGAAGTGTTTTGAGTTTTCTATATGTAGGATCATGTCATCAGCAAATAGAAAAAAAATTTACTTTTTCCTTTTAGGCTTATTTTTTACCTCTTTTTTTTTTTTTTTTTTTTTTTTTTTTTTTTTTTTTTTTAATTTTTTTTTTGTTTTTTATTTTAAGTCCTGGGGTACATGTGTAGGATGTGCAGGTTTGTTATATAGGTAAATGTGTGCCATGCATTGCTGCACCTATCAACCCATCATCTAAGTATTAAGCCCATGATGTATTAGCTATTTTTCCTGATGCTCTCCCCTCCCTGCGCCCTCACCCTCGTCACCCTGACAGGTCCTAGTGTGTGTTGTTCCCCTCCCTATGTCCATGTGTTCTCATTGTTCAGCTCCCACTTATGAGTCAGAACATGCAGTGTTTGGTTTTCTGCTCCTGTGTTAGTTTACTGAGAATAATGGCTTTCAACTCCACCCATGTCCCTGCAAAGGACATGATCTCATTCGTTTTTATGGTTGCGTAGTATTCCATGGTCTATATGTACCGCATTTTCTTTGTTTGTCAGTGATGGGCATTTGGGTTGATTCCATGTCTTTGCTATTGTGAAAAGAGCTGCAATGAACATATACATACATGTATCTTTATAACAGAATGATTTATATTCCTTCGGGTATATACCCAGGAATGAGATTGCTGGGTCAAATGGTATTTCTGATTCTAGGTCTTTGAGGAATTGCCACACCATTTTCCACAATGATTGAACTAACTCACACTCCTATCAACAGTGGAAAGGCATTCCTATCTCTCTACAGCCTCACTGGCATCTGTTTTTCTTGATGTTTTAATGATCACCATTCTGACTGGCATGAGATGGATATCTCACTGTGGTTATGACTTGCATTTCTCTAATGATCAGTGATGTTGAGCTCATGGATAGGAAAAATCAGTATATTGTGAAAATGGTCATACTGCCCAAAGTAATTTATAATTTCTGTGCTATTCTCATCAAGCTACCACTGACGTTCTTCAAAGAATTAGAAAAATAAACTATTTTAAAATTCATGTGGAACCAAAAAAAGAGCCTGGATAGCTAAGACAATCCTAAGCAAAAAGAACAAAGCTGGAGGCATCACACTACCCAACTTCAAATCATACTACAAGGTTACAGTAACAAAAACAGCATGGTACTGATACAAAAACAGACATATAGACTAATGGAACAGAATAGAGAACTCAAAAATAAGACCACACATCTACAACCATCTAATCTGCAACAAACCTGACAAAAAGAAGCAATGGAGAAATGATTCCCTATTTAATAAATAATGCTAGGAGAACTGGCTAGCCATACACAGAAAATTGAAACTAGACTCCTTCCTTAAGCCTTATATAAACATTAAGTCAAGATGGATTAAAGACTTAAATATAAAACCCAAAACTATAAAAACCCTCGAAGAAAATCTAGGCAGCACCATCCGGGAAATAGACATGGGCAAAGATTTCATGATGAAAACATCAAAAGCAATTGCAACAAAAGCAAAAATTGACAAATGGGATCTAATTAAACAAAAGAGCTTCTAAACAGCAAAAGAAACTATCGTCAGAGTGAACAAATAACCTACAGAATGGGAGAAAATTTTTGCAGTCCATTCATCAAAGGTCTAATATCCAGCGTCTATAAGGAACTTAAGTTTACAAGAAAAAAAACAAGCAACCCCATTAAAAAGTGGGCAAAGGACATGAACAGACACTTCTCAGAAGAAGACATTTATGTGGCCAACACACATATGAAAAAAGGGCTTATGTACTTTTTATTTTTTTTTCTGGAGTGATTGCTCTTGCTCATACATCCAGTCCTATATTCAATAGAAATGGCAAGAGTGGGCACCTTTGCCTTGTAAAGATCTTAGAAGAAGAGCATTCAGTTTTTCCCACGTTAACAGTAAGAAGTTTTTGAGTAGGGGCAAAATGGCTGACCATATGCAGCCAGGTAAAACAGCTGCCACCAAGGGACCAAGATGACTGGTATACTCCTGGCAGATCTTCAGAGGGAAGGCACTGAGAGTGAACAGAGGGAACACACAGAAGCTGGACTGAGAGGAGGAAATC